CTTCCGTTTGCTACTTTTCAGAGAAAATTTAAACTAGATTGTAATTTGTTAACAAAAATCTTTAAAATACAAATTTCAAAGTCAATTTTTCATGAAAAGTTTTATTTAAATGCTAATTCATTTTATACTGCGCGCCTATGTAAATGTTGGAATATATATCCTTTATCATAATACAGTATATATATTTCAAATCATTTGGAGCAGTATTACAAATCGGTTTTATTGCTTAGTTAAAAAAAAACTAATGGCTGTATCAGATATAGACGACACAATTTTGTGTTCACATATGCTTATTACATTATTTATCAATAAAATTATAATATTCATAGAACAGCGCGCGCTATTAAAACAAAATATTTAAGTCTGATCCATGGCAATGTCTGAATTGCCAGTAATGGAATCTTTCTGCACATAGTCATAAATTTTACATAGTTCCGGAGTCTCCTTAATTGACTTTAAAAAGTCTAGTAACTGCTGGTTTTTGTCTGCAAGTACAAATATTTCAATAATGAATTAAAATGTATCTGAAGAAACATATATTTTAGAGAGTACTCACTTGCTTTGGGTATTTGTGAGAGCGCAGAGACCGCTCGTAGAGCGGAGCGCTTAAGTTCGTCTTGTTTCTCGTACTCTTGCTTCACCGAATTGGCCTTTACCTTGTGGGTGCAAGTGTCGCGTAGCTGTTGCACAAATTGATCCAATCCTATTCAAAGAAATTATATTTAGCAGATATTTTTGAAAAGGACTAAAAGGTCGATCACATACGCAACAAAACCTTATCGGGGCATAAGACAGCCAGTCGCGCTGTCATGAGATACGTCAACATTTTAATATCATAATGATCACTTAGGCCAGCCTGGACGTGATCCATGAACTGCATAACGTCCACACGGTCCAACCCCTGTTCGAGCAACGTGTACATGCATTCGAATGCTGCTTTTCGTATATCCAATCCATCGTCAACAGTGTGCTTAAACGGGCCCATTTCAACTTCACGTATGAGCTCACTCTTGACCTTCGTCTCAGAATACAACCAAGGCAAAAGTGTGGGCAGCAAGTCGCGGACCAAGCTCGGCTTATTGTGCACCGCCGAGTTAAAAGCGACCAGAGCGACGCGACGTACTTGCGGATCCGGATCGCGTAGTGCGAAGAGAAAATCACCAATGCTCTGCTTTAGAAGCATGTCAATGGGTTGCGGTTGGTCGGATATGGTGAATTTAACGGAGGACACGACCACAGTGCGCATTGTAGCACTTTCAGAACGGAGAGCTTGCTGTAATTGAGGCAACAGCTCCTCTGGATTGACAAGCACAAGCTTTCCCAAGCATTCGGCTACCACGTTGCGTGAACCTTCCTCTGAGCACTCACAATGCTTGAACAATTGTGCCCATATCGACGGCACCGATGGGAGCAGCTGGGCTAGACCGTTGGGCGTAACAGAGAGCGATGAAATGACCTCCTTCAATGAATGGAGCAATAAATATTGTCGCTTGGGCTGTGCCTCGATCTCCTTCAAAATCAGCGGCAAATATGTTTGCAGGCTGCCCACAGAGACGGCTCCCAGAGCATGCGAAGCTGCCGCTTTCACATCCTCGGATGTGGCTCCAAAGCATTCAATGATTGTCTGTGGCAACACTTGAATGGAGCTCAAATCGAAGTGTCTACCGATTTCGCCTATTGTTAGCAAGCAGAATATGATCTGGGTATCCTTGTTGCTACGCTTCTGCAACTCAGACATCAGCTGGGTGGCCAATGGAGTCGCCACCTGTGGGCACTGCTGTGTCAGGGCTGCAATGCACTTGGCCGATGAATGATATGCCTGCTTGTGCAGCTGCAGCTGCTCATTGGGATTCCTGGCTGAGGGATCGCTGCCCTTCAGGACGGGCTCCATTAGCTTAGACACCAGTGAGTGATAGTCTAAGCCAGTGAGCTGTGCCTGCACCAGAGCTTGGAATAGATCCAAAGTGCATTGCAATGCTGTACCCTGAAAGCGATTACAATTACTATTCCGACTCATATGCAATACTTAGAGCTACTGACTCACCTGCAACAAGGGCGAGCGCACTAGAATCAACACCGACGGCAAAAACTTCTCATGTATGCCAACCAAAGCTTGCGGCTGGCGACGAGCCGTTGTACTTAGTAGAGTGAGCGAGTATTGAGCCACATGTAGATCGGAGTCGGAGATCAGTCCTGGTATTTCGACAATGGCAGACTGCAGAACACTTGGCTCAAAGTTCGACGAGTAGTTGATGACGATCTTATTAATAAGATCCAAGGAGTGCAACTTCAAAGCACGATGATTCTTGCGCAGGAAAGTGCCAAGGGTGGGCAGCACATCGTGAAGGATGGGCGAAAGGTCAATGCGCAGCGGAGAAGCTGCAATCATGGTCAGAGCCTTCACGCTGCTTAATCGTGTGACTTCGTTCTTTAAACGTTCCATAAATATGGGCAGACATACATCCAGCTCACTCTGCAGCAAATCCCCCATATTGGCAATGATTTGGCCCATGCAAGCGATGGCGCGCTCCTTCACCTCCTGATCGACATCGGTGACCTTCAGTTTCTGCAGTGTGCATGCATACACCTGACCCACAAACGGAGTAACATCGAAGTCAGACTTGACTGCATTGGTGCCCAACGGTCGAACCACCTTGACTAGCTGCTGCAGCACCAACAACGCCTCGGTAGCAATCTTGTAGAACGGATCGAACACCGACGTTACCACCAGAGGCACCAGCAATGGAATATGTGGATGAAAAACATGTGGTTGATGACCCTGCAACAAAGAGCACAGGAAGCCCAGAGACTCGATTTTCATGTTGCTCGTGGAGCCCTTGTCGTTTAGCGAATAGCTAATGCCCGGTACAATGCTGTCTAAATGAGGGCCAAGGGCGCCTGGCAGACTATTCAGAAGCTCGCGCAGTAAGAGGAAACAATCCTGACGTGTTTTCATCGACTTCTCTCGCATCAGCGGCTGGATGGCTTTGATGATCTGCGGCAGCTGTTCGATTAACAGTAGAGTCGGTCCAGATACCTGATCCATGGAGTCCGGATCATGGGCCATATCGTCGGCAGGACGTGTGTTCCGCAGTAGTGCAACATATGCATGAAATATATCAGATTTAACATTCTCTTCTCGCTCTTTGAAGCGAGCTATCAATGCTGGACTTAGTGTACGATAAAATTCCTCAAGCAGTTCCTGACGTGTAGCAATCAGAACTTCAAGACATTTGGCAGCGGCACGACGAACTTTCCAGCTCATATCGTCGTCATCGCTGTACTCCTCGCTGTCCACATATTCATCCTCTTCGGTGTCCATTGCAACACCTGTGTCGCCGTCATCGGCCTCATAGTTGTAGTTGGGATCGTATGTGACGTACTTCAGGCACAATTCAAGTATCTGAATTTGAAACAAATTAAATTATTTATTAATTCCTATGACTTGGACTCGCATGTAGCTTGACGCACCATGGGAATATGTGGAGTAATGGCGTCTGGGCAACGCAGCACAAATGCCTCACAGGCTTGCAGACAAAACTCACGCAACTCATCATCATCGCGTTGGCTATATTGCTTCAACAAGATCATCGAACGGTCAATATGATTGCACAAGCGATGACCAGCCTGACGACTAGCGATAAAAAAAATATTTAAGCTCTGCATTACTCTTCTGATCCATAATCAATAAAAATACCAAATCGAGGCCAAGCATTGTATGTACGTGCGCACAGCTCCAGGATTCTGTGGATTCTCCAGACCCTCCAGCAGATGATCGACCACTCCATTGTATGCATTGCTATTCGCTTGTACCAAAAGCACAGAAAGCGCCACAATTGTGCGTTTGCGTACAGCTTGACGAGGGGACGCCAGCTGTGGATTTAGAGCCTTCAATATGGTGCTATGGAAGGGCACTAGGAACTCTCCAAAGCGTGAAAGCAAATCCGACAATATGTCGAGCGACTCCAACTTAACTGAAACATCCTCCTGCAAGGGAATTTTTTACCACTGCTCATATAGCAACAAAATTTGTGTTTACCTTCTCAATGGCAATACTGAGTTTGCCAGTTATGCGCTGGCATACATTGGGGGCCAGCGAATTTGAGGATTGTGGCAGCTCGGCAATGACAGTTTTTAGGCCAATGCTTGAGATGTCGCGCAGCTGTTCCACGTTGGACATCATGTTGCCACATAGCGAGTCGACAATTGTCTCTACTTGATTCTCCTTTACTTTATTGACCAATGGGCCGAGACATTTCACAGCCAAATTCTGCACTTCGCCGTTTTTATCCTCGAGTAACTTAAGGACCATACGAACCACTTTTTTTTCAGACTCATCGTCCAGTATAATACTATCCTTTTGCAGTTCCGTCATTAAATCATTTGTTGCCATGAATCGAAAGTCCTTGTCCGTAGATGTCATCTACATCGCAAAGTACGTATACACTTATTAATGTATTGCTCACCTACAGTTAAATACATATTCTGTACATACTTTTTCCAGCAAATTTGCGATTTGATGATATTGATGCGACGCCATGATCTATATATTTGCTTCAACAGTGTGTATTTAAATATATAAATAAATATATATTTATAGATCTACGAAATTATGTACACGGTAGCCAATTACCAATATTGTGACCGTCTCACGAGTTATGTTTTGTCTTAGACAAAATAATAGGTCTACTCAATTTTTTTTTCCGGCACAAAAATTTGCGTGTTGGAACTGGAAAATGCATAAGTAAAATGAGATTATCGATATGCCTTTTTGAAGTGCGATGGTATATCGTGTGGTATCGGCTAATTTTAATCGATGACAATGGGTCCCCTTTTGTTAACATAGCTCGATGCTAACGATTACTCAACTCTGTTATATTTGAAGTATAAAAAACGAGGATTACAAGATGGGTTATGCGGCCTCGACAATTTTTATTAATACGATACAGCACTTGTTAGTTTGTTATAAAGAATCTAACTGAATGTCAAAAAATAAATATTTACATATAAATCAATTCATATTATTTCCCAGCCAAAACCTTTACGAAATAATAATCATAAGTTGAACACTCAGTTTGACCCGTTAAACAAAATAAACTTTTTTAAAGTGAAACCTCAATGAGATCAACATTTTCAGCCAAATTTGCAACAGATTTAACCGCTTCTTTAACTTCGCCAATAACAAAAGCCTTTTGTGCTCCATTTGACAATTTTGCAAACTCCACGCAAAATTCTTCAGCTGCTTCAGGGGTTAGGCAAATGAGTAATCCACCAGATGTTTCAACAGCTTTGCCTGCTTTTAGTTTTGTACATTGTCCAACTAATTCGCCAAACCTTAAAACGTTTTTAATTATGGGCAATTTGTGAATTTCAAATTGAAGCGACTGCTTCTGAAACTCAACCAGATTTTTGGCATGTCCCAGCAAACCGAAGCCCGTGATATCTGTTGCAGCATGCGCTTCGTACTTCTTCATTAGCAAAGCAGCTAAAATATGAATATTTTATTAGATTATTTTAATTATAGTTATACTTAATTCCAGACAATTAATTATCAATACGATATTTATAATGGCATACGAATTTAAGCAATAAGGAGATCGAGAATTTTGTAAAACACAAATTTCTTGTAGCTTACCATTGCGATTGAGATATGTCATTGATTTGATTGCTATTTCAAACGTTTCTCTGATATCGTCGCTCGTATATTCAGTTAGCAACTTTTCATACTTTTCATTTTTCTCCTTCTGCCAAATATGCGCACTCGTTGCTAGCTGCGTGCCAAGTGGCTTCGTTAGCACCAGGACATCGCCAGCTTTACCGTTTGACGGTCTGAAAAGTTGCAAAGGTGTTAAATTGAGTATATTGATATTCTCTAATACTGAACTATTGTTTACTTACAATATAATGTCTTGCTTTAGACAAACGGCAGTCGCTATGCCTCCAATAATACACCAAGGATTAATAATAATATTTTTTATAGTCACATTGCCATAACAGCCGCTGTTGCTTGATGCTCTCTGGAAGCCTTTGACAATCAGGGGAACCACAATATCTCGCTGCTTCTCTGTCAGATTTGAAGGCGCACTAATAAGCATTTCGATTTTATCGATATCCGTGACACCAACAGCGTATACATCACTTAAAACATTGGCAAAAGCTATGAGGCCCATTATTTCGGGATCATCAACTAGAGGATAAAAGAAGTCAACAGTCTGTACCAGCGAATAGTCCGTATGCCGTGATAGAGGTATAACCGCGCAATCCATTCCAGATCCTTTTTTTGGGGGGTTGGAAATAAAATTTTATGAGTATTTAGATAAATACATATGTATATAATTAAAATTTCAAGGTCAAGTATAATCCAATCTGTACATTTAAGGTAAGCTTCAGATAAGCATATAATTGTAGTTGATTAGGTTGCAAAATTAATTAAAATATTTTTATAAATTTTGGAATAACAAAATACTTACCAATATAGTCATTATTATTTTGAGGAGCACTACTAACTATTTCTGTTCCCGTGAGATATTGCTTAAGCTTCTCTTCGGGGACTTTGCATCCTCACCCGCGCAGAGTGGAAAACATGGTAAGGCGAAAATCGGCCTCGAGACCGTGATCCTCTGGCTTAAACATAGTGTGCTAAAACATAACTGCAAAATTTAGTTAAATTTAGATATGCATTTATTAGTAAACTTACGTTTTCGTCGAAACAGCTGTTAAGCCGCGTGGAGTATTTAATTGAGCTAGAGACCTAAGGGAACCAGCTGACTTTGTTCATTTGAACCTCAATCAAACATTTATCGATTACAGTGCAATTTGCCGTTGTTTTAATTTAAAGAGAAATATATGCAGTTTTTAAAATCATTATTTAATAAAATGGTTTTATTTTGTTATGTAACTATGTAACCATACGAATTTCATACGCCCTTAAATCATAATTTAACTTATAGGCATTTGTCCATTTTTGGTGCTTTTGTCTTGTTTGTTTTCTCAAGCAAAAAAAAAAAGCACCCCTAAGAGAAAAGCGAAGGGCGATAAAGGACACTGACATTGTCGGCAAACAAAAGTTTAAAAAAACGTTAAAAACTAATACACTTTTAATACACAATTTTAATTATAATGAACACATATACGCCCATAAAGCTGACATAAGTTATATTTTTATATACTGTTTTTAGTGTTTTTTAATTCAAGCACTGGCTAAAGTCGATAATAAAGTCTAAAAATAAAATGTTTAAAAGTAAAAACGAATGTAATGTTGTGTACAAGTGCACTGTTCGCCTGCTTGATGATTCGGATGTACTAGAATGCGAATTTCAGGTGAGCTTAAGCAATAAAATAGTTAAATCCGAGACTGAATACATTTTCAGCTTTTAGAAGGGAGAACATCAAGGAAAGTCAACGGTGTTTTGTTGGGTGTGTGTGCGTATGAGTTTGTAAGTGTGTGTGTGGGCGGGTCTGTGTGGACATGTGTGCGTGTCTGCAGAAATAAAAATAAGGGCGTAACTACTTCAGCTATATCAAACCCAAAAATCCAAGCTAACAGCTCTTTTATGAATTTAATTAAAAACATTTTTCCGTATTCTCTCTCTCTTTCTTTCCTATTACAGCCATTTCATAAAGGCATTTACCTAGTCGACCATATATGTAGGCAATTAGATATTAAGGAAAAGGACTATTTTGGTTTACGCTATGTAGATACGGGAAAACAAAGGGTAAATATGACTCAATGAAAGAATATTTGAGTCTGTTTTATTTAACATATATATTTATTTTTAGCACTGGCTTGACCTTGCCAAATCCATATTAAAGCAATGCAAAGGTATTTAATTAAATTTAGTCTCCTTAATAAAATGATTATAAACTAAAATATTTTTATTCGTTTTTCAGATATAGATCCTGTACTATTTTCGTTACGTGTAAAATTTTATCCAGCGGATCCATTTCGACTCACCGGCAATGGCCGCATCATGCTCTTCCAGCAGTTGAAGAGAGATCTTCGTCATGGGCGCTTATATTGCTCGTTGGGCGAGGCAGCTGCCTTGGGTGCACTTATTGTGCAGGGTAAGATCGTGCTCTAAATAGCATTTTAGCAAACTACTGGTGAATAAAGTTTTTGCAATTTTTAGAGGAGCTCGGTGACTATGACGAGCTAATACACGTCGGTGACTATGTGTCCTCATTGGACTTGGCTTTACGTCAAACCGAGAGTCTGGAAAAAAAGATCATTGAGCTGCACAAGAAGAGAAAACCTGGCCAGCACCCCTCCGTTGCCATGGACGAATTCATGGGCATCGCGCGCGGCCTGGAGACATATGGCATTGATCCGCATCCCGTAAAGGATCATCGTGGCTCGCTGTTGTACGTGGGCATCAATCATGCGGGCATCAGCACATTTGTAGCTGGCAAACGGTCGCAACACTTTCGCTGGAATGAGGTGCATAAAATTAACTTCGAGGGCAAAATGTTTATTGCACATTTAAGCTTTACGGATGCCAGCCGGGAGCCCGTAAGTCCAGCCCTTCAAACTGAATAAGTAGATGTAATAACATCGATAATTATAGAAAAAACACACAATTGGCTTCAAGTGCCCATCAGGACCTGCTTGCCGGTATCTATGGAGATGCGCCATCGAGCAAATGTTATTTTTCACGTAAGTACAAGTGGACGTTGGATTCTTGCTGGAGAATCAAAAAGCGCTTCCGATCGAAGATTTAATGCAAAAGAAAGGCTATTAATCTTAGATAATCATATTTATTCATTAAGGCCATCGTTGTTTCTTTTCACAGCTTGCCAAATAGTCAGCATGCGGCTGTTGTGTCTGGCGGTGGTTTTTTCTCCTGGGGCACCAAGTTCCGTTATACGGGTCGAACTGAACGCGAGATATTGACTGAAAGCATAAACGCATTACGCGAGCAAAAAATGACCAATTCAACTTCGAGCAAGCGCAAAGCGAGCAGTGTACCAGCCACGCCCTCCAGTCCGCAGGGCGACCTAGCACAAATACGTAAGCCGTAAATCCTCTAAAATTAGGCGACTGATAAATATTAAATCTGTTCAATTTCGCAGGCTACAGCAGCTTGCCACGTTCCACAATGTCCGAGCCACTGGGCTGTTCCATGGCGCCGAGCATTCTCATCTATGGCCAGGACACTGGCGTCAACGGTAGTCTGCAAATGCCTAGCCTGGAGCCCGTTTGCGAAGAGGCGCGACTGCGCTCCTCCAATATAGATAGACTCAATCACATGGGTACTGATTTACCCGGCTATGCCTTCCGTGACTCTATGGAGCATTCGTCCACGGAAAGTGGACTCACAGCAAGCGGATACGATGTGACTGGCAAGCCGCGTGGGAACCAAAATGATTCCAAACAGCATCTTTATTATTCATCCAAGCAGTACTATGCGCTGCCCAATCCCGCCTTAAATTCAAGCTCTTCCGTCGGTGTCGCCAGTGGGAAACATTTAGGAAAATTTTCGCGCACACACTCCAATCCCAACCATGGGGGCAAAAGTTTACGTAAATTCCATTTATTACACGCCTTTATACCATCCGTTATCTTTGTTGTAATCGCAATGGCTGGCACAGCCGTCCTCATCATGGAATCTGAGCTGGAAATGTTTGAACGCGTACGAAACTCTCCCGAAATGCTTAGTTTGCGCTATCAGTATTATCAGCCCCTAAAAGAGTTTATCATTGAAAAACTAGGCAAGAAAGTGTAAATTTTATTGACAAGACTTCATATATAAACCAATATGTGAGTTACAAGTCATTTTTAGTTTTTTAAAATGTTAAAATTGGAATATCTCTGGCAAATAAATGGCAAAAATTTTGTATTCCAATCTCTCATAGCAAAATCAATATATTTTAAGAACTAATGCTAAATCAAGATATATCAATGATATATCTATCCAAGCTCAACTCTTATTTGGTCGCAACTTACGTGAGCTTAACAGCACCACCGGCAGCTCTTTAATAGCACTCTTCTAATAGGCGACGCCCGCTTTGGGTATGCTGTGAAAATATCTCTCTTACTGAACATAAATTTTCTAATTAACATGATCATCATCATCATCCTTTGCAAGACATTTAAAAAACAAAATTCTGGAAATTTAGTTCTGGATAAATTTAATTTTCTTATAAATTTCTGCTAATTACCTTTTATAATTAAGAATCAGCATTAACATCATAGGTGCATCAAGGCCAAATTAGCTATTGCGATATCATATTTATATTAGGCTTGGTTTTTTATGGCTATTCCTTTGTGGACACGTGAATGTCTGAAAAACAATTCCATATGTACAGATAATAAATATATTTTTCTAAATAAATACATACATATAAACCGAAGGAAATACCAATCTGACAGAAGACACTTAAATCTATTATATCGTTTAGAAATAAAAAAATTGAAGTACTTAAAGAATCTTGGCAATAATTGGATATGCATACCAGCCATACATTATATGTTGTATGGTTAGTGATATGGATAGTACCACTAACCAGAGATAGTACCAAGTTTTAAGCCATTTATTTTATGAAAAAAAAAAAAAAACCGTGTTGAAAGAGTTTTTCTAGGTTGCTAGTATTTCAATAGAAACATTGTGTAATTATATTTTCATATTTTTTAGGCTCAATCTCCAAAAAAAAAATCATAATTATTAGAATATAAGAATTTATGTGTAATAGGTAATGTATTAGATATTTTCGCATGAAGAAACTAGCTTTGCAAAAATAAACTTCATTTCCCTGTTTTTATTCACCTACTCAAATATATCGATAGCTATCGGTCACACTTGATGCGATCAATTGTTGCGAATGGGAGTACTAATGTACGACAGTCACACAACCATGTTGCCAACCACATAAGGAGCCCCTTTTTTTATTGTTGTAGTATGATGATAAAATCTGACAAGCAAATCATTAAATTTGTACCTTATCCAACACTTGCAACAAAGCTTATGTACGATCACATCACAGTGAAAAATTGCGAACCGATATAATTGAACAGTGCGCATACGCGTAGTCGGCAATGAAAATCACAGGTTGGTTTTATTGTGCTCAACAAGTTGGTCACTTGCAAATGCGTATTTATACATATGCATAAAAGTAGATGCTTACGTGTGTAACTATTTTTTAGCTTTTGTGAGCTGGCGTAGTGAACGCCATTTTATAAATTGGATAAAAAATAAAGATTGTAATAGATTAAGACACCACACAAGTCAAGAGACAAATTAGCAAATATTAGTGCGCCAGTATTTGATTTGTGTCGGGCAATAAAAAAAGACATTTACAGTTGACTGAATTTTGTTCACCTATTTGTAAGTATGCATTAATATATGTATGTACGTATATTTATGTGAGTATGCGTGTCATATGTCCACAGTCATTTAACGGCTTACATATGTATGTATGCACATATACATACATATATTAATTATGGGTTTCAAGTGTGTATACTCCTTGTACCACTTGTAAAATATGCACAAGCAACTCGCAGGCCTACATATGTACGTCTGCAAGCATATGCATGTGTGTGTGTGTGTTTATGTGCGAGTGTCAGTGCGTCGTGTCTGTGGGAGAAGTGATTTCTAAAAGAGCTTAAAACAGATGACTTAAGAAGCAAACTGGAAATGCCGATGATGAAATATCAGCGACTTAATGTACTTTTACAAATGCGTAGGGTGGTGAATGAATACATATGTATATGTGCATGTACACTGTGCAAAAGGAAAACGAAGTCGAGAAATTTCCAAATTAATGGTATATGTTATAATATTTTTGAAATTTACTTTCAGTTAAGGATTGACGAATATTGATTGACGAATTCTTAATCCAAGTGTGATGATTTAAGTTTCAGATTATACACACTCTTTAGCTCCATTCTTGTAGAATAAGCAACAAGTGGCAAGCGTATAATGGTGTATCCGGAAGAACCCTTCTGGGCTTTGCCAATGGTATCTGGATTATACGAAGATCGAGATTATAGGGGTAAACCCATTTCTATCGATATTTTTCAATCTTTTATTTAATATACTTCTTCACTCATAGTTAATGTTGTCGAAGCTTTGCAAGAATTTTGGCAAATGAAACAAACGCGAGGAGTCGAGCTTAAGAATGGAGCTCTAGTGATCTATGAATCGATTCCATCTAACAGCCAGCCCTATGTATGCTTCGTGACATTACCTGGCGGCAGTTGCTTTGGTAGTTTTCAGGTATAACTTTTACAACAACCCTGATAGAGTAAATGTTGCTAACCATTAACCCTTTTAAGAATTGTCCAACGAAAGCAGAAGCCAGACGAAGTTCGGCTAAGATTGCACTCATGAATTCGGTCTTTAATGAGCATCCGTCTCGTCGCATAACCGATGAATTTATAGAAAAGGCTGTTCAGGATGCTCGCGCCTCTTTTAAGGGAACACCGCAAAACAATGAATTACCAGAATCGGGCATTGGTGCATTTAGGTACGGACGAAATATTATATGTAAGATTTATATATATATATATATATCTTATAATATATATGAATTTAGGTTCATGCTCGAGGCAAATAAGGGCCGTACGATGCTGGAGTTTCAAGAATTGATGACCGTGTTTCAACTACTACATTGGAATGGGTCATTGAAGGCAATGCGCGAGCGTCAGTGCTCTAGACAGGAGGTGGTTGCGCATTACTCGAATCGTAGCTTGGATGACGAGATGAGAGCTCAGATGGCCTTGGACTGGATAGCACGTGAGCAGGAGAATCCTGGAGTGCTGCGAAGAGAATTAGTCTTGGCTGAGCGTGAGCTCGAGACGGCACGCATGGCAGGCCGCGAGCTACGTTTTCCCAAGGAGAAAAAGGATATATTAATGATAGCACACAATCAATTGGGTGGCAGCAATTTGGGCGCAGCATCTATTGAAAACTGAACTGTGGACGACGATAGAGGTTTATAATAAAGGGGACAACACACTTAGTATACATATATGGAAGACTCCCTTTCTTAGTCTTGGCACCATTATAACATCGTATATATACATAGATATATAGAAAGTAATCGACGAAATAATCCGCATTACACAAACAACCGTTTATTTTATTGGCAAAAGAAACCCACATGATCTCGAGTTCTGTTAAATCCGTTAAAGCTCATTTTAAAATAGAAATCAGGAAGTCGTGAGAATAATTATTATTTGCTGACAGAAAGAAAAGATTAAGAAAAACTCGGTAAAAGGAAAACACTGAAGAGTGCAAAATATTTTCGGAATGAAAAATTGTGATTTTAAATACTGAATTTACGGAATTATTTTGAGACTAAACTTAAATAGAATAGTTAAATTTATTGTGTGTATATGCATGTGTATTTATATATCGAAACACTGTCTCAGCGCCAAGCGCAACTCATTCGAGGCAAATAACCATTTAGACAAATTTTTAAAAATAACTTCATCAATTCCTTATAATAAAGTCGAAACATTTGGCAATCAGAACCTTTCTACAAAATTTTGTTCAATTAGTGCATAAAAAGATTTATACATACATACATAATATACATATGTGGCCTAATCACTAAATAAAACCAATTAATTAAAATATGTATCTGGCTTTCTGTACTTCTGACTCGTAAAATGACGTAAAATGAAGAACTGTTGCTCTAGATTCTTATTCTTGCTTTCTACATACTGTTCATATGTTTAAGTTGAAATTAAATGTGGTATAAAGAGGGATTCTGATTCCTAACTGGCTAGACGGACATTTAAAGCTTTTAATAGCTTTTAACATACTTTCTAATTTTCATATGTTTTCAAAGATTTGTTCAGACTATTTAGTATTTATTATAATTAAAGTGTCTTCAAAATATATATATTTTACAAGTAAAAAGATTTTACTTGAGTCAAGAATAGCTTTTATAATCTTACCTTCGTATTTGCCATTTTTTCGATGCTATTTCGAAACATAATGCAAGTAAAGCGATTAAGACTCCACCTTAAAGTAAGCCCTCAAGTTAATCGACAACAACTACAGCATTCAACTATATATATTACTTAACAGCGTAAGGAATGCTGAAGAAACACCCGATATAGTCACTGGATAGACGGTGTATAGGGACTGACATTCCGGTTTCTTCATTTGACGCTGTCGCAGAAGTCTTTCAACCAGCCCAACTTCACGAGCTTTACACATACTGCAATTTTAAATCTATAAAAGTTATACCAATATGACGCGGTATATGTCATCCTTACGCTGTTTTAAAGAGTTCGGTATATTGACTATTTTTATGGACAATCCAATTCATAATTTCCACCTCCATTAGTCCGGACACCTCGCGTAGATCACATATTTCATTAGCGTCAAACAACTCGGCTATTATGGGATAAGCGTCAACCACTTCGCAGTGAAATGCAAATCCGCCCCTCTTTAGATATGGAATCGCATCCTCTATGTGACCATAGACACCCATTTCATCGGGACCTCTAGATGCAGATAGTTTTTTGCTTATCAAACGAGTCACAATTGGATTGGAACTTTCCTTTAGAAACAAACACTTAATAAGTGAATTGACTTTATTGAGACGTTTAACTTACTTTAAATAAAACTTTATAGTATCCTATATCTTCAAAGGATACTTTAAGTGGGCTATTAGTTATTTCGTCCACGGTAGCTGGCCCTAGATCCGAGGAGCTCAACAGTCCACCAACGACAGAGGACGTGTAATAGTTGTACATTACGACGGAGAAAAGAAAAACTGTAACGACAATGGAACGTGAAGGCATGTCGCTGGGAATTGGTTCCATTCCCTGTTGGCAAACAGCACCAAAGGTGTGTAGGATACGTTCCGTCCAATTGCTGTGAGATTTCGTAATCGCTCGATGAGCGCTCAAACTTCTTCTGTTGCGCTTTCTTATATTAAAAAATCGCTCTTCAATACATTGCATTGCTTGAGAATGCCATCTTTGGCTTAGGTAATCCAGCAGCAGCCAAATGCTGTTAATGCCAATCAAAGTGGCCACGGTGAAGAGCCACACCTGTCTGCTGAAGGGTGCTAGAAAATTTCCACTTTTGCCATGCGTATCCAAATCGGGCGTAAATCGAAAGAGGAATGCTGTCTCAAACTTCCAACTCTGATGAATAGTGTCGAACTCGGCGAAACGATTTATGCGATTGAATGCTCCAGATGCTGCAATATCAGCTTCATTGCGTTTTATAATACCCAGCAAGCCAAGCCGAAAAGTTGTGTTGCCCAATCGGCCTGCCCAACCTCTCGAATTGCGAAAGTTGACGGTGAAGTTAAAGAGATCTCGCAGCAGGCTCAGCAGTTCGTAATGATATTTGATAAATGCTGCCACACCCGCATCCTTTGTGGGCCTCGACAGTATAGCTTCAATTTGTTGATTCGTCAAAATGTCCTCCTGATCGATCTACAATATTGAAACTATAATATAAATTCCATCTGATATCACTCTTTACTTACAACACTTGCGCCTCGCAGGGTCAAGCCATTGAATTGACTGCGATATTTAATGCTCTGCAGATCGAATATCTCATTGATTATAACCAATTTCAGTGGCTCCGTTGATAGCTTTGCTATCAAATGCAATTCTAGTGGTGATTTCAGTTGACGCCCCTTTGAATGCACATCCCAAAGGAAATAGTCGTCCTTTGTTTTATTCACATAGGTGAGTTGTGCATTTGGGCCAACATAATCTAACTCGATTGGCAGCAAATCATTAATATTCATCTCAACGCCCCACAGTAACCACTGATAGGTTTTGTTAAAATATCTATTCGCAGACGCCTCTTTTAGCAGACTAGGAGCGCCTTCACAGGTGGTGTCCACAATCACAGATGTTCGCGCATAGTTTTCCCTTGTTAAAATTGATACCAAGTCATAAGAGCTATTCATATGGACCGATTGAACAAATTGATTGGCTGTCATGAGTGCTAGAGCGTTGAAATACATATCTAAAATTAGACCAAGCATAAGTTAATAGTAGAAGCTATAAATAGGAATAACATACCAAGCTCAGAACAGGCGAAAATTATGCTTTGCTTTGCCCTAACAAGGCGCGTGTTGTAGACCAATATAACTGAAACCTCCATAGCGAAAACGGTTAGAAAAAATATGCTCACCAAGCTAAGCACTACCTTTGTACCGCTCGAATACATTTCAAATATCTTTTCTACTGTTATCCTCAAGGCAAAAGTCTCTCTTATATAGCATAGTAGGCGCCATAGTTGATTGACATTGTAAATTACAGCAAGCACTTCTACATGCAAATTGAATAAATTAACGCCTAATAGTGCGTAAGGAGTCAATAAATTTTGAAAAATAAATGAGTGTTTGAACTCATTAGGAATAGTCGCCTTGATTATACTCTTTGTAGCTAAAGGCAGAAATGAATTTACACTGATATAAAGTCAGATTCCCGAATATGTTATTGACTTATTTGTAACTCACAAATAAGCTGATTTACTAATATCTATAATTTATACTTATTTAGTTATTTAGTTATATATTTACAAATAGTCAAACTATTAATTTCATATATTGTCAAACTAAACAACCTGCAACTGCATTTGCTTTTGCAGCAACGAATCAATTGGATTTTCATAACGAATTAGCTTATTGAGCAAAAACGTACCATCCTGATGGTAATCAGCGTCTACAACAAACACCTCCACAACCTTTGTCATTATAAATTGCTCGTTTTTCAGGGTATCGACTATAACTAATGGGGATACTTTAATAAGACCCAATTTAGATGGACAAATTGTAAGTGGAAATTCAGAAAGCTGCCCAGGCTGCAATGTATCCAATTCAAAATCTGCTGAGCCCGTATAGGGGCAACCGGGAAAGACTTTCGTATCGAGTTTCACATGCAGTTTCATTGGATGCTCCGCCGTATTGGTTACGCGGCATTGGAAAGTGAATATAGTACCTATTTTGACTATATTTTCGGCATCAATTACTTCTAAGCGCAGGTCTTTGTATTCAAAAGGCTAAAAAAAAACATTAAACTGTTTAAAGGCAATTAATATTAAAATATTTCAATAAATACCAATCGTTGCAACTGGCTTGTTTGCAGTCTACCCTTTTCGCCAAAATTCGATCTCCAAACAATGTCGAGTTTTCCTACATTGTTTGCTTCACGCAACGTTTTAATATCTTTTGCAATGTCTGCTTTTGGCTAAAATATAAAAAAAAAAAATTCTATATCCGACTTCAGAAGCTTTCACAAATATCCAACCTTTATACAATAAAGGAATTGACAGCTGTTATTGGGTTGTAGCATATTTTTAGAGGTAAAAACCGACTCTCCGTTGGGTAAAGTATTCAAAGAGGTCACTGTGTATTGCTCCGAGCTGTCCAATTCGACTTTTTCTAGACAAAATGGGCCGGTAGTAACATTTTGTATTTGCGCTTCAAGATATATTTCGTCCATTTCGGCATTATAGAACTTTGTCTTCACATCGAGTGGTTTAAGTACTTGAAACTTAAAAAACTTTCGAAGGGATTGAGCGAAACCCGCAGGACTAGTGTAATTTACTTCACAGACTAATCTAAAGGCAAAGATTAAAAACATACTATGAAAATAAGTAACTTTCACTAAATGTCTTACGCACATGTGAGTTCCAATTTCCTTCACTTCATATCGAATGACATCATCGAGTGTTTCGTCAGCTGTTAAAACCACTGATGATTTCTTATTTTCATGCATTAGCAAATTGATTTGCGATGAGTTGGACTGCAGATCTACTTTAACAGAAACACCTTCAACGGGATGAGTGGTACAATTATGCACACAAATGTAACTCGAAAAGGTTTCGCCCAGGTATATATTTCCAAATGATTGAGGCAACAGCATCGTTTGCCCGGCACCGAGTGCTTCAGCAGACGTTCGAGCAATGCCGTCGGACTCCACAAGTCGGTTAAAATTCTGAGGCAAGTCCTTTGGTTCGCAGGTAACAATTGGCCCAAGTCCAACAAGCGTTGGGCGGGTCAGTCGCATTACTGTAAGACGTATAATTCTTTTTATATTATTTAACACGCCATATAACCTGTTATATACCCTTTAAGGCCAACAAATGAGCATCCGCGTCGACAGCATTCATTTTTACAATTTTGTGAATTCACCTGAACGAAACACCAAAATATACCATTCTGCTATCGATTGCTGCTTTCTAGTGATGACATGGGAAAATTGATACCTATTATATCGAAAACATCGATCTATAATATTAAAACAATTATTTATAGATCTGCCTTATTTTCTAATATATTTAAACAATTATTTAAAGATCTGCCTTATTTTCGAATATATATTTGTATTTAATTAATGGTTTATTTTAAATTTTGAACGATTTAATGAGTTGCTCTCTACCCTTCCAGAGACACCATGTCACGACTTATAAAGAACGCAGATACCAGCGCTGCAGTTTGTGCAGTCTCCGAGCAGCCCTTGGTTAATCTTTCCTCAACTTCTGCCAGCTTAATTATTAATTTATTCATAACCGACATGGGCAGTTCAACTGTTGGGAATTGAAAGAAGTTAGTACAAGTTAGAGTAAAACAATTGTTAAGTACTCTTACGTCTCATAATAAACAAATGTAGTTCTGTAACAATATCCTCTAAAGCAAGTCCTCGCTTACTCTTCGCTTCCTCAATTGCTGTCATACGGATTGCACGTGTTTAGAAAAAGAAGCAATTTTCATTAATTGTAAACTTACTATCAAATGCCGAGTCGAATGTGGCTGCTGATAGCAATGTCTGTAGCACATTTTCAATTTCACTTCTAAGTGGATATCCCACACACATATAAACATTATCCTCGTTGACTACATCGAAGGCCATCGAAGTACTCTGAAGCACATTCAGAACCTTTCGCATATCACCTTTAGCGAGGGTCAGCAATGCTTTTTTTCCATCATCTGTAATGTTGACACTGAAAAAACAAACTGCTTAGACATTGGGTATACTGCAGCCGGGATAGATCTATATACTTCTCCTCCTCCACAACCTTATTAAGGCGCGGCATCATCTGCTCTGGTGAGAGTGGGGCAAAGCGGAAACGTGTGCAACGCGATTGAAGCGCTGGAATTATTTTGCTTAGATAATTGCATATGATGCAGAAGCGCACGTTTTCCGTATACTTTTCAATAATGCGACGCAAGGCATTCTGTGCGTCATTCGTCATAGCATCTGCCTCGTCCAGTATGATCAGCTTAAAGGTGCCACAGAAAATGGTACGAGTCGAGGCAAAGTTAAGAATCTGACCACGAACGATTCCAATGCCACGATCATCAGACGCATTCAACTCGAGTACCATGGACTTAAAATGTGCTGGTGAATATAGCTGACGGGCACAGGCCAAAATAGTGCTCGTTTTACCTGTGCCTGGTGGGCCATAGAAGAGCAAATGGGGCAGCTGCTTCTGATTAATAAAGCGATTGACTAAAATAAATACAGATATTAGCGGATGTATTCCATTTCCTGGTGTCAAAGCATGTTTTTACTCGTTGAAATTATTTCTTCATGGGATATTAGGTCATCCAAGCAGTTGGGCCGATATTTTTCCACCCATGGCATGCGCGCAACCGTACTATTGTTTCCAGACATACTTTTACCGAATTTTTATAAATGTTGTAGCAAAATGTTTATGCATTCGCGCCGTTTTCTGCGCCACCAAGTCTTATTGAAAAATATATCGATATATCATTTATAATCATCGCATCCATTCCATCTTTTATTCAGGCGATGTTTTTAAACGAATATAAATTATAAAGACGAAAAATTACTTGTACGAACGTTGAATTAATTTATTCCGATTGGCGCTTGTGTAGTAGTATATATCATAATACAATAACTTAATACAAACAATATATTCTCTACTCAAATTATACAATGAATATAGACAATTTTATATTGACATTTTGTATTTAACTGCTTTTACCAGCTATATAATTACAATATACATATATTTCATTATTCTTTGAGTTGTTTACAGACTACAACAAATTAATAATCTAAAGACCATTCATTCTCAGCAATAAATGAGTCAACTACTTCCTTCATTGAGAAGTTTGGTATTAACTGATCCTGCGTGAGTTTTACTCGTGTTACAGGATCAAAATGGCCAACACGTTGCAAGTGTTCCTCGATATCCTTACGCTCATATGTAATGCCTGATGGAGTAATCACCGGGTCAGTTAATATTTCAAAACTTATTTTCCCACATAGAAAATCGGGCACATCGCGTTTCTGTCAATAAAATAATTAAATTTTATATATACAGATAACACTTGTTTCTCTATTCTTACCCTACGACGCTCGTCCACTTTTGCAAATATATTATTAAGCTCTTTAATATGATCATCCTATAAAAGAAATATATATTAATAAACTACAAAGTGAATCAAACTATTTTTAAATTCGACATTCACTAGCACTTCTATGTCTTATCTCTTATTTATATCATGGTTTATATCAACAGAAAGCTTTGCAAAGATATCTTACACATTCTTGTTCAATTTCTTGTTGTTTTTCCTTTAAGTTTTCCTCATTTAAGTTTTCATTTAGCTTTAAGCTGGCTAAACGGTTTTCCATATCATCTTTGATTAGACTGAAAGTAATTAAATAAACTAACTATAGAGTCCAGTAAATATGATTCTAAATTCGCACCGATTCAAATAAGTTTGCAGCTCGATTTCCTGAAGTATTCGCTTTTCTTCCATAATATTCCAACGCTTTTTACGTGCCAAACGCAATTGCAAGGTTATATCATCTCCAAAATTCTGCTTTTGCTCCTTTGACAAATCGTAGGCTTAAAATATGCGCATTAAAAAAATAATTATATGGGTAGACTCTAAAAATAATTCGAGCATTTACCACGCTGTAGATGTTTTATAGCTTCGTCATAATTGTCAATCTCCATAAGACCCTGGCCAAGGAAAAAATGTCCTTTTAATAAGTTGGCATCTATATCTAAAGCTCGTCGACAATCTTGACAGCACAGTTCCCAACGCTTTAGCTTTAGATTGCAAAGCGCACGATTCGTAAAGTAGGTTGCATTTGTGGGATTCTTAATCTATGTGGAATAGATATTTGTATACATACATACACATATATATGTATGTAAATCATTTCAATTTCATAGTTTGGTAATGACTTACAATAGCTTTCGAGTAACATATTATCGCATCGTCATATTTGCGGGCTGCAAATAAACAATTGCCCTGCTCCTTCAATTGCAAGTCAGATAAATTTGTGGTTGAATAAATATGTTTGCTCGTCATGTTGAGAATAGTTTTGCTCTCTCAATCGTTTTGTATTTTCCAGAAACAATTTTTTATGTTGGCATATGAATTGTCAAAAGAAAGTGACACGAGTAACCGGAGCAAGAGGACCACAACGGAATCGACGAATCATTTAAACAGTATACCGATGCACCATTTAATAAGCCTACTTTCCGTGTTTCCTTCAGCATTAAATATATGAAGGTATATATGTGTATGTGGGTAATTTTTACAAATCAACTTAGCACCAATAGCTATCGATAAGCTACCATCGGTTGACCGTGTAATAAGTGTCGATATTAATTGTGTCGTTTTGGTGGAACTTGTTTATTACGTTGTAATTTAGGTATTCGATGATTCGAAATAAATTTCTACAGTTCTCTTTCTTTTTTATGTCAACGTTATTCCGGCTCTTTATATTAATATGAGCTCAATATATAATTTGTGTTCAGTTAAAAATCTGTCATCTAAGCATTCATATAATTAATAAATTAAAAAATATTGTTTTTTTTTACGGTTTCGCTAGTCGCTGTTACGCCGATTGTCGATTAATTTAAGTATCAGCTGTTTGTAATTGGCCTGTTTATTGTTTCTAGTAGTTCTGTTAACAACTTTTAATGGTTCAGTTAGCAGTTTACAAAGTCATCTGCTTGTATTTACTTTCACTGAATTCTTGCTGTGCCTTTTACGTATTGTAAAAATCGAAGAGACATTTGTTTGTTAAATTATAACACCCGCTCAGTAAATATTTACGCACTCTGTTAGATACATGTTAAATTAACAGGCTAAAGAAGAAGAGCCACAACCTTTTGGTGTGTCGAAATTAATTTGCGCTTGCAACCAAAAAGAAGTATACCCCTAAAAAAAATAGTTGTACGCAATCAAATAAAAACATCAAATGGCGTCAACTTCAAGGTAAAAATAATACAATTGTGATTAACTATATGAAATATATTGTGGAATACTCTTCTAGACTGGAAAACAACAAAGTGTGCTGCTATGCCCATCCGGAGTCTCCGTTAATTGAGGACTATCGAGCTGGCGACATGATATGCTCGGAATGTGGCCTAGTAGTTGGAGATCGTGTGATCGACGTGGGCTCCGAATGGCGTACATTTAGCAATGAAAAAAGTGGAGTGGATCCTAGCCGTGTAGGTGGTCCGGAGAATCCTTTACTCAGCGGCGGAGATTTATCGACAATCATTGGCCCGGGAACAGGTTCGGCATCATTCGATGCCTTCGGCGCACCCAAATACCAGAACAGGCGCACAATGAGTAGCTCAGACCGTTCACTTATATCAGCATTCAAAGAAATTTCATCTATGGCAGATCGCATCAATCTGCCTAAAACAATTGTCGATCGCGCAAATAACTTATTCAAGCAGGTATGTGACTTCATAGGCCTATTGTCAACCCGTTCTTATTGATTTTATATTTATAGGTGCATGATGGAAAGAATCTAAAAGGACGTTCGAACGATGCGAAGGCATCCGCTTGCTTGTACATAGCGTGCCGCCAAGAGGGTGTGCCCCGCACTTTCAAGGAAATCTGTGCAGTTAGTAAGATTAGCAAGAAGGAAATTGGCAGATGTTTCAAGCTAACATTGAAGGCACTGGAAACAAGTGTTGATTTGATAACGACAGCTGACTTCATGTGCCGCTTCTGCGCCAATTTGGGTAAGTTATTGCAGTGACACCTTTCATATATGTATGTAGATCGACTAATTCTCATTTTCATGGACTTATAGATCTACCCAATATGGTGCAGCGAGCTGCCACTCACATTGCTAAAAAGGCCGTGGAGATGGACATTGTACCTGGTCGATCGCCGATTTCGGTGGCTGCTGCCGCTATTTATATGGCATCGCAAGCATCGGAGCACAAGCGCAGCCAAAAGGAAATCGGCGATATTGCAGGTGTGGCCGATGTCACCATACGCCAATCATATAAGCTTATGTACCCGCACGCTGCAAAACTGTTCCCGGAGGACTTCAAGTTCACGACTCCGATTGATCAGTTACCGCAAATGTAAAATACCTGGTAACAGAAAGGATCAATATTTATATTTATATACATTTGTATATCGATGCTCAATTATCACGTATACGTCAACAACACGGATAGGAATGCGAAATGCGTTTTGTAGGACAACTCTAGATTTAATTTCAGTAATGACCATACTTTAATCACAACTCCAGCGACAACAAACAAGTACGATTTTATTCATATAGAAATGCAGAAATGCGAATGAACTTCACTTTGTTGAAATATGCAGCACTGAAGCTGGCTCTACGATTCTAATTAAGAATGTAAAATAAATGCTAAAACTCATTCTGACAACTGTTATACTTACAAATTCATTTTGTGACATTGCGAGATATTTATTCAGCGTGTAGATTTATTTTAAGTCTATTTAAAAACAGAAATTCTTTCTGCTGAAATGTATTGACCTGAGCCTGAAGCTTGCAGCAATTGTAATCATAATCTGTAAACCATGTAAAGGAGTGGATATTTAGTAAATGCTGAGACCCATTAATCAATTGTTAACTTAACTTTTCGAATTTATCATTAACAAAGTGAAACATTTATTCAGCATAGGCGTAATGTAATTTGGTATATTTAGAAGCACTTGCTTGAAAGCTTTCAATCATAACACATAATGGTAATATATTGTGTAAATAATTTGGGTAACTCGATATACAATAGTAAAAGCCACATCCATCCATTAATCAATGCCTAGGGAGCACTTCTCGTTATCCGTATGACCGACGCATTCCAATGCCGGACGATGCTCCGAGTCCCACATGCCCGGACCGCAACGCTTGCACAAGCCACTCAGCGTGCACGGAATCTTTGGTAGCTGCCTGTACTGGTAGAGCAGTCCGCGCGCTTTACGCAAAATCAATTGGCCATCCATATACATGGCCAAGGAGCTAAAGTGCAGCAGCATCTCATCTGCGCGCAAGTTCTGAGCAATCACATCATCGGCATAGACAGCGATGATGGCCAGGCAGAGAAATAAATGGAAATAGTCAGTGAGATAGTTTGACCAGCAAGCCTCCCACATGCGTATGACGACGGCTTCCGTGAATTCCCGCTTGAAGCAGAGCAGTAGCCAGCGATGGCAGAACAGTAGCTCCATTGCTTCATTGTGCCGTTGCAGGTGCTCATAGAAGCGCGGCAGCATGAGCCGGATCAATTCGCGTAAATAGCTTAAATTGTGATCTACATCGTTGTCCGTGGGCGTGCACACAAAGAAGGCACGCTGCATCAAGCCGACGAAGCACCAGAAAGTTTCCGATTCATTCTGCACCTCACACAAAACGGGAGCCAAGAGATCACTCATGCCCTGCGAATAACACAAAGTTTGATATGGGTATATAGTGATAATTGGATCGATTGGATTGGATCCCACTCACCTGCGAGTAGGAGATACTCGTGTTGTAGACGGCAAAGTTGAGCAAAATGTTTTTCATCATCTCTGTATTGGGATTGTCCTCGCCGCAGAAAAACGGATTCGTACGATCCGTACGCACAACATCCTTTTCGACGACGCACTGCACGGTTCTCCAGAATTGAGCTTGCTGCTCCGGTGACATGGAGTATAAACGCTTCCGCGTTATTTCGTCGTACTCCTGTCTTTTGATATCCATCAAGACGGCCCGATCCTCAAAGGTGGATGAGAATGAATAGCATTTCAAGATGAAGGGCCACACGGTTTTGCGCAGACTCTTCTCGAGGCCACCGAAGAAGACGCACTTGCGCAGCAGCAAATCATCGTCGATTTGTCCCTTTTCGTTTAGTAATGTGCCATAAAAGAAATTTGTGGTGATTCTCTTCACATTGCCCTCATCCGGGTGCATCTCTGATTGTTTTACTTCCGGACGACAGACCATGAAGTGTCGATAGGGCAAATTCATTTTCTCCTGTCCCGGAGCCAAGGTAATGTTGTGTAGAAAGCAATGCCACTGATGCAACACCTGAGCCAGGTGATCCAAGCCACCGTAGTGGAAATGCAGAATTTTATACTGTGATTCTCTAGAAGCTATTACCAGCTGGCCAGATGTACATTTGTCGTCGTTGAAAAACAAACGCAACGAACGCATCTGGCTGAGATCGACGGAAAACCTGCGGCCTCTAATCACTGCTTTACGACGGACAGTGGGCGTAGCGTTGGCACTCTCCGGGAATACCAGATTATGCTTGAATGCCAACAGCTCGGGCGTCATCCAATTAGGATTGTTTTCATCCGACACCGAACCATCCGAATTAATTTGTTGTGCCGGCTGATTCGCCCGAGCGATTGCAGATGAATGACCGCCCTCGTTATCCGGCGACGAAGTTGGAATGATGCAGTTGTAGGACTGGGAGATGTTGCTGTTCTCAATTTGTGGATTCGAAATGGTTATGTTTACGGATGTAATTGGATTTTTTTTGAGCAAGGCAGTCAGATCTCCAATAGATGCCGTTTGTCCTCCGAGCAGCGGCTGCAGTTCATTCTTCAATTCCTGCATCTCAGCCGCATTCTCCTCGCCTATCTCATGCTCTGCCTGTTCGTCAGCGACCTTTGGAGCGGGCACCGCCACTTGAGCAGTGGGCGAGAAGTGTCCGTTGGTAGGTAGCGTGCCATGATGCAGACTGCTCAAAGGGTCCCCCTCGTTGGTGGTCGAATTGCACTTGCAGAGCGAAGTGTTCGGGATCCAGGTGAGCAACAGCGTTGGCCTCTTGGCACTGTTGTACTGGTCGATAAATGTTTTGGTAGTGCAGGTCAGGTAGCCAGGATAGTGAAGTATATCTGATTCCTGGCGGGCCACGGTCGGTGGATGAATGCAGACATTGTTTTTGCAGAAAAGTATTTCGTTGTCTTCGTAAGCAATATCGATTTTTTCATGACACCTCTCATCGCCTAGTATAAAGTTGGATGCTTTTTTGATAATACTTCCAATTGGCATTTTTGATTGGAGTGTTTTTTTTTTCGTTTTTTCGTTAAAGCAAATGATTATCGATTTACCAATTTTGAAACGTAAATTGGGTGAGGCTTTTGGATAGGTAAAAAACCTATTGTTTTTATTTATTCATAGACGGCAGTAACTCCGAGGAACCGTCATGTTAGTTGAGTCATCAGTTTTTATTTGTAATCCAAATTATATTTTTCAATGTGGAATTCTTATAAGGTGGCCAAACTGGTGCCAGGAGTAGAGGACCACGACTCACGGTAAAAATAATTTGAATGTCGTTGAAAGACATTTCATCGACTAAGTAATCGAGTGACGAAATAATCGATACCTTTTAAGCAGAATATGACCGGTTTCATTTAAGACATATTTTTTATATTTGTTTATAACATAACAAAAATTTTATTTTTATTGGTGTGTCTTATGCACACGCCTAAAATATTTTTTGAAATAGGAAAATAATCGATAGTTTTCTTGCTCTAATTGGAAAAGTGTATCCACTTTAATTAATTATACAACAACAATTTTGCTAGTGAGGGTCACACTGATCGTAATTTTTGGATACAATCAGTTTATTTGTGATTCATTCATTTATTCGCTTAAACAAATTATAATAGCGATAGTATAGAAGGCTTTTCGGGTTTAATTTAGCCAGTTCACACGGACTTACACACACACACGCACTAGCTGCATTTGTTATAGATCCTAACTCTCGCTCTTTCTCAGTAGAAGAATGGCAGCCGAGATAAAACCAGCGCAACGCAGCAACAATGATCGCTTTTTGTCGACAAAAAAGCCTGAGTTGCTTAGCAAATTAGAGGGCAGTGGTGACGATGTAAATGCAGCTATTTTAATACCGGGCGAAAATGGGGTCATTAGCGTATCTGACGACAAGTGCGTAAATAAACAAACCGAATTTCCCTTAAACGAAAATTCCTTAATGCCTTGGAATATAATTTCCCTTAAATTTATATTTGAATAGAACTGTTCGTGTGTGGCTTAAACGTGACTCAGGACAGTACTGGCCCAGCATTTGCCAATATATGCCATCGGGCTGTACGGCCATCGAATACGTGCCGGAGCAGCGCCAATTGTACATCGGTCAGGACAACGGCACCGTAACCCAATATACACTGTCCGAGGACTGCAATCGCTTATCATTCATGCGCGACTACTTGTCGCATCAGGGTCGCGTCGTAGCCGTTGTATTCTCGAAGACCCACAACTGGATACTCTCTGCTGGCAAAGATAAACAGTTCGCATACCATTGCACGGAAACAGCGAAACGGGTGGGCGGATACACGTTCGAGACGCCCTGCACAGCGCTCCAGTGAGTTACTCTGTAATCTCTGCGAAATGTGTGAGAGTGTTTTATCACTATTTAATTTAATCTAGGTTCGATGCGTTGGCCAAGTACGCCTTCATTGGAGATCATGCGGGTCAGATCACAATGCTGCGCTGCGAGGCGCAGGGTGTGCAGCTTATCACCACATTCAAAGGACATACTGGTAAATATATGTATATTTACGTATATACAATTACATATACGAGGGTTGCTTAAAAGATTGTCAAGCTATTTATTAAAAATTGTTTTCTTTCATACTTATACAATTATTTTTCTGTTTAAATAGATTTCTTTTAAACCTTTCAAACTTCTCTCCTATGTGTACATATATACCTTATTCGCCAGCTATACATGGATTATTTAACAGATTAATCAAATCTCCTTTTGCAGCTGGTATTCGTTGCTTACGATGGGTTGAAGGACCACAGCTTTTGTTTAGTGGCGCCTGCGATCAATCTGTTATTGTTTGGGACGTTGGCGGCAAGCGTGGCACAATCTATGAACTGCAGGGCCATAGGTAATACTAAATTAGAAATATTTCTATGTACCTGTGTACAATAATAGGCCTTTTCATACCCTTAAATTAATTATTGTATATTCTCTTCCATTCAGCAACAAAGTGTCGGCTTTAGCGTACGCCAATCACACTCAGCAATTGATATCGTGTGGCGAGGATTCAGTGGTCGTGTTTTGGGAAATGAATGCGATGCGCAAAGAGGTGCCGGGCTGGGTGGAGTCCAACAATTGCCAGCTCTGCTCGAGGCCATTCTTTTGGAATTTCCGGTCAATGATGGATCAGAAACAATTGGGCAAGTGACACAGCTTACACATAGAATGATTAATCATTAAATTGCAATATTGGAATGTAATTTTAGGCATACGACAGCACCATTGTCGTCATTGTGGCAAAGCTGTTTGCGATAACTGTTCATCGAACCGTATTAATATTCCAATAATGGGTTTTGAGTTCGATGTGCGCTGCTGTGATCCCTGCTTCAAGCAGCTGCAGACAGTGGAGCGACCCTCTCTGGCAGCCTTTCACGACGCCAAGCATTCCATTGTGCACATGGATCTGGATGAGGATCGTAAGCGTCTACTCACAGTTGGCCAGGATAGATTGATCAAAGTGTGGGATTTATCTACCATTTGGGCATAATATTTAATTACTATACTATATATACTATCCACCAGGATAGCACGACTTCAATTTCTAAAAAAAATTATATTGTATTGTATGAAGCTGAATAAAAAACAAAAGAATAACGAAAATACCAAATACATCTGTAAGTATTGATGATGGAAAGAAAACATTTAATTATAAGCAATGTTTCACGAATTCACATATTAACTATATATTTAAAACATGTAAGTTCTTTTTCATCAAGTTCGAAATTGATGTAAAACTAAATTTCCATGAATATCAATAAAAGAAATCAAATCAATGTCTGTAATATCCAAATGTTTAATATCTTAATCATATAAAATATAGCTTCCTCTCTCGAAATACTGCATAGCAGATAAAGAATATCTCTCGATTAATTTAGCTCAGGTATAGGATGATTAATTCATAGACCTCCTTCACCCACCCACCTAAGACCCTGAAGCCAATTAATGATTGAAATTGTATTTTATTTTATTTACTATGATGAAAAGCGAAAGGACTGTTTAATTAATATCCACCTCGTCCCGGTGGTGGTGCGCCGCGCATCATTGGTGGTGGTCCTCGCATGGGTGGTGGTGCACCCCGCCCAAGGCTGCCCGGCATAGCAGGAATACCCCCCGGTATCATGCCCGGTGGTGGAGCACCCATCATAGGAGCTCGGGGTACGCCACGTCCCATGGGAGCCATATGCTGTTGGGCGGGACCGCCGACACCCCTGACGGGGCCTTGGAGGCCAGCCGGCACGGACGAAATGTTCATAGGTACACCACGACCAGCGACACGACCAATGCCTGGACCTGGAGCCGCGCCTGGAATGGGCACGCGGGGAAGACCTTCCTCAGGTGGTGGTGGTCCCTCGACTGTAAGGGAAACTATATTTTCCCCACGCAGCAGTACAAATCCCAGAACACGTTTCTCCTCACGCTCCGGCACTTTGGAATTTTTTGAGCGGATTTTACGAAACTCTTCGCAATCGCCCAATATTAAATTCATATGTTTATCGAATGCTTTAAATGTTCCAATAAAAGTTCTTGAATCCTGCAGAACAATCCGTACCCGATAGTTCAGGTGCTGAATCATTTTATTATTCTTGCCAATAGTCTAAAAAAGAAACCAAACAAATCAGTTAAAAAAAAAAAAAAAAAACAGCATGGCCGGCAGTCGGCATAAACGTATACATATGTAAAATACAAATTTGCGTTTAAATTCTTCGCTTTTCTTTCGGAACTTACCATTTTAGGGCCGGTACTCTATAAGTTTATTGACAAAATATTAACTTTATCAGCTTATTGTTAAATAACAGCAGGATAAGGTGAAACTAAATTGTCAAAAAACTATTGCGTCCAAATCGCAAACAAGCAGCATATCGACGCATCGAATGTTATCGTGTTAGTGCGAAATGTACACATTTCTATCGAATCAGGCTTGCTCGATTATTTTTTGCAGCCCTGTATTTCGTGTTCTACTGAGAACAAATATATTGTGTTCAAACGTCTCAGTTGCTCATATATGTATGTGGCCACGTCACTTTGGCTCTCTTTGTTTCTCTCTTTTGTGCCGACATTCTACGTACATATAGGCGGCACAACACCAAAAAGTTTTAACTCGTTGGCAAAACAAGTGAAAATTAAACAAATAATTCAGTTTGGTAAAATCCTTTATTTTATTTGCTATTACATTATAACGCTGAATTACATTTTGTTCAATTTAGGAGTACATCGAATACAATCAAGCAACCAACACGAGGAGAAAGAACATTTCACACTAAAATCGAAAGAAAAAAAAAACTTACGAATCACTCAGAATGAATATTTTTCGATTTGCTGGAGACTTATCGCATGTATTTGCTATTATAATTCTTTTGCTGAAAATATGGAAAACAAGATCATGTGCCGGCATTTCGGGAAAATCGCAAATACTATTCGCTGTCGTCTATCTGACACGCTATCTGGATCTCTTCACCACATACGTCAGCCTCTACAATTCGGTGATGAAGGTGCTCTTCCTGGCCACATCAGGCGCCACCGTTTACTTGATGTATGTGAAATTTAAAGCCACCTACGATCACAATCACGATTCGTTCCGCATTGAATTTTTGCTTATACCATGCGCTCTACTCTCATTGGTGATAAATCATGATTTTACCGTGATGGAAGTGCTGTGGACATTCTCGATCTATTTGGAATCAGTCGCTATATTGCCGCAGCTGTTCCTGGTGAGCAAGACTGGAGAAGCTGAATCGATTACCAGTCATTATCTGTTTGCCCTCGGCTCGTATCGTGCTCTATATCTGCTGAATTGGGTCTATCGCTACATGGTGGAGTCGCACTACGATCTGATTGCGATCTTTGCCGGCGTCGTCCAAACTATTCTCTACTGCGATTTCTTCTATCTGTATATTACCAAAGTGCTCAAAGGCAAGAAGCTGCAACTGCCAGCATAAGCAGCGTCAGCATCATTTAATAATTCCATGCGTGCGTGAGTGTGTCGGTGTCGTCGCTTCAGATGAATGGATGAGGAGGAGATAGAGAGGAAAAGAAGAGCAGTTTTGAAGAAGCGGGCCGCGTTAATAATAGTTCTTTATCGCATAACAAAAACAAAAAACAAGAAAAATAACTTAGAAATGATATTGTATATCGAACGGGAGCATTCTGTTTGTGTTGCATTAATTTAAAACGAGAGAACATGAGAAATTAAAATGTGTGACACAATTAATTTATGCATATACCAACTCAATGCAAATAATTAAAGTATACAAATAATGTACAAAATCTTATCATTATGATTTCCATCTGCAATCA